GGCACGGTAAGACCTAGACCCGGGACCGATTTACTTTTTCATTTTGATGTTCCCAGAGGCCAAAAACACCATTCGTACAAATTTGTATATATGTATACCTATATATATATATACGTCCGTGAACGCGATAACTTGAGTAATTTTTGTCCGATTTTGATGAAATTTGGTTTAAAGGTGTAAAGCGGGATAAACTTGAATGAGTTGCGAACCAGCACGATCGGACCATGGGAACGGGGCTTTACGGGGGTATGAAACCCTTTGGGGGGTTTTATGGGGTAAAAATTGGTTTTTCTCACTTTTGACCCTCAAAACACAAAATTTCCCGATTTCTCTTTAGACCTTTTTAAAGAGCTTAAAAAAAAAATAATTTAGTATATAAAAGTATTTTTGTTCAATTGTTAGTAATGGAGAAAATAAAAAAAAATTGTAAATTTAAAATTCCCATGTTATTCTTATGGAGAATATTGTCAAATGTTGTAGTTTGTTTTTTATGGATATATTTTGATCAAACTTGGCAAATTTATTTATTTTGTACTAAGCTATCAATATTTTACTCAAAAACACACTTTATTAGTTTCCTTGTAGCAGCAAACCTAGGTACTCGTTAAACCAATTCAAATGGAAATTCGCTTAGTCAGCAGGTTTGCTGCGGCGGGGGTATATTTATTCTATCACAGTAGCTTTTGAAAGACATTTTTGTGAGGCAGCAACAAGAGAGGAAGACATTGAGTTTATTTCTGTCTTTTCACTTTGAGTTGTTTTACCCTTAAATGTCCTACTTTGGTTGTGAGAATTGCAAACTGTTACCCAATGGCCTTTCTTGTCACAAATATACAAACTGAGTCTTTGGCAGGACAGTTGGCTCGAGAGTGTCGTGACCATCCACAAAAGAAACATTTTTCTCTCCTTATCGAGGATAATTGGTGTGAAGACGAATCAGAAGCTGCCTGAGAAACATTTGTATCAGTAACATATGTATCAAATGTATCAGTAACATCAACATTTTTAGGAGTTGACTGAGATATAGAGTTACAAGGGCTTGAAATATATGAAACTGCCTGATTTTCAGCTGATTCCAAGGTAATGGCTTGGATTATAAGCTTCTTCAAGAGTCAAAGTTAGATTTTCAAGAAGTCTTTGTCGAATGGACTGTGATATTAATCCTCGAATGAAAGCGTCTCTTATGTACTCGTTGCGATTTTCATTAGCAGTGACAGATTTAAAGTTGCATGCTTTACTAAGTTCATTGAGTTTTCGAAGATACTGATCAATATTTTCTCCAGGTTCCTGTCTTCTAGTTGCCAGCCTGCTGCGGTCACGGAAACGTCTATTTTGTAATGCGCCATCGCAATAAATTGAAAATTCCAGGTAGAAATACAAAATTCACGCATAATTTTTGGTAAAAAAAAGTCACGCGTTATTCCCAAATTTCCCGGTTGGTGCACACCCTGTTATATATACATTGCAAAGGGGCGCTACTTTTAGTTGTGCCTAGGGCGCTGACAGGGTCAAAAACAGGCCTGTGCCATTTAATGGCCAATAAGTTTCTCGAAGAGAACTCAATAAAAGTTGTGGTCCTGCATGAAGTATTTGAACATGTAGATCTTCTGCAATTAACCGTGTTAGCCTATGTTTGTGATCGAGAATAATCAGCTGTTTATTATCAACACTTAAAGTTGAATGTTTCAGTCAACCACCTACTCTGTTCAGCCCTTGGTGATCAAGAAAATGATTTAGCAGCAAGAGTTTGTATTGTTTTCCTTCAATGTTTTCAGTTCTTGGGAGAATGATTGAGATTGAGCTAGTTTTATAAGAGAAAGTCTTGAATAATTTATTTCTGAACATGTAAGGGAACCTGTTAGACAATCTTTGGATTTTGTATTTTTATAAAACCTTAGGTACAATATGCTACAACTCGTAAAAGTTTCTGCATTGACAAATACTTGCTAAATATATCATGACCATGGACATGAAAATAGACGGCTGTTACATTATATGCCTTACACAATTCTAGGAGTGAGTTGACACTCATATCAAGTCAAAAGTTTGAGCCTTCCTTCCAAAATTGATGTTTTCCAGATAGCCATTGTGGCCCATTCCACCAGAGAGATGACGATAAGAGCAGTTGAACCATAGAGCCACGAGATATTAGGTCTGCAGGATTTTCAGTGCCAACAACATGATTCCAATGGCTTTGAAATAAAATGAAATGAAAAATCGTTTATTTTTTCAGGGAAAGTTAGGGCCACATGGCCCTTTCTTACACTTAACCTGACATTCAAAAAATAACAAAAATAATGTTACATTGGGTTAACTTAATCTAATTAAACATAAAATATTTAACAATTCAAGTATCTACATATCTCAGAAAAAAAACATACAAATTTAACAAATACAAAAAACACATTTACTCACTCTTGCATACACGCATCAGCAAACGGGCAAAGTAACAGTAGCCCTAGGACACGCCAGCCGAGACCATCTCCTCAAAATAGAGCTTTTTCAGTGCCGCCACAAACTGGGAACGTTTTTCAAGTGTCTTAATGTGCAGGGGTAGGCCGTTCCACAGACGACAAGGGGTAACAACAAAAGCCCTGCCATAAGCTGTGGTCACATGATGAGGTATACGCAATGTGATGGAAGAATAACGAGACATTCTTGAACTACCCTGAGACACAAATTTAAAATCGGATTTGAAATATTTTGGGGAGCCTGTTTTCAAAATTGAAAAAAAAACCAATGAAAAAATTTTAATGAATCTTTGATCATTTAATTTCAGGATGTGTGCCTCAAGGTAGTATGGCGTGTTATGCTCCATACGTCGCAGACCATAGACAAATCTCAAACAATAATTCTGTGACCGCTGGAGCATACCCGTCTGAGTCGCAGTCAAGTCATTGATCAATGAGTTGCAGTAACTGAAGTGGGGTAGTACAAGTGATTTGATCAAAATGTAGTTTAGTGTGTTGTGGTAAAAAAATCTGTAATCTTTTCAATGAAAGTATGGAGGCAAAACCCTTTATTCGTGTGTCCGTTACTGCTATGTCCCAAATATGGCTTATCAGTGGCGTAGCTAAGGGGGGGGGGGTTTGGGGGTTACAAACCCCCCCCTTGGGTGTCCCTATATATATATATTTTACTGTTGAAGTAAATATGTTTTCGTAGTATACTTTTATGCTAACCAGTAAATAAAGAAAGTGCCAAGCAATTTACCTAGTCTTAGAAATATATTAAGTGTTTTACAACACTTTTCATGTCACGGTAAAAGGCGTACACTACCACTTACCCCCAGGCCCCCCGGCATGGTCACGTTAAATAACCCCCCCCCTTAACGTAATCCTGGCTACGCTACTGTGGCTTATGTTTGTTAGGGATTGAATTGTTGAGATTCTGTTTGCAACAAATGTACTGTAATGAGATGATGGGGAATTGATCCAAGAAAGAACAACAGTTGAGTCAGAATTATAGTAAACATTATTAGCATCAATGTTCAATGCTTTGATGAGAACTTGGGCTAATTGACTAAGTAGCATAACGCCACAAAGCTCCAATCTTGAAATTGAAGTCACCTTCAATGGAGCAACACGAGACTTTGATGAAATTAACGTCACATTTGTTTCTCCTTTTACGCCTTTACACCTAAGATAAACACAAGCTCCATAAGCAGCCATGGATCCATCACAAAATCCATGAAATTCTACATTTGCAGGTTCATTGGATGACAATACATATCTGTTTATTGATAGTTTTTTCAAATTAGTTAATGATGCATAAAAATCAAGCCATTGATTATTCAAATGCGAGGGAAGTGTGTCATTCCAATCTAAGTTTTCCTTCCACAGTTGTTGCATTACAAGTTTAGCTAAGAGAATGACAGGTCCAATTAATCCCAAATTATCAAATATCTTGGCTATTTCCGACAGAACTTGACGTTTTGTAATGTTTTGTGGTTGAGTATCTTGTGATAGTGAATATATTTGAATACATCATGAGCGGTATCCCACATTAGATTCAACGTTTTGACTATTGAGTTGTTTATGTCTAAATTGTGTTCAGGATGAGCTTCAATATCTGATTCAAGAACGTTTTTTAGTAAATCAACATGATTTGATGACCACTTTCTTAAATGAAAATCACCCTTGGATAGCAGTTCAATGAGATCATTATCACAAGTAATGCCTTACATGGAACAATCTTACCTCTAGGACTGATGACATTCACAATATCTGTAGAAAGGATCTGCTAGAGGATTGATCATTGGCTGATGCGCCTACAGAAATATCCTGTTTATTATCCGCAGTGGATAAGTATTTGTTATCTGAGTGTGGTTGACTGTTGTTACCACAACTGTCTCTAGGATTTGATACTGACTTAAGGCAAAGTAAAGTGTTGTGTCTTCTTCCACAAGATTTGCAAACACTCTTACTTTTACACTGATTAGTTTTGTGAAATTTCAGACAGTTTTTACACAAATTTAAGCTTCTTACCTTGTTTATTCTATCAGGTATTGCTAGGTTGTGAAATTGTTCACATTGAAATAAAAAATATGAGGACTGACATAATTCCCATTTAGGTTCTGAAGATGACAAGCATGGCTGTCGTGATGACCATGACTTGTTTTGAAACCCAGAAGTAGGTTTATGTTTGACAAAGTTAACATCGTTATGTTTAGGCAATGGAGTAACTTAAGGCTTACTGTTATTGTAATGAATTGAGTCAAGTATATGAAACCTATGATTTAAGAAATCATTTAGGTCTTGCATTGTTGGAAAGCTATTAGGCTTAAGATTATCTTGCCAATTCCTAAATGTGATAGGATCAAATTTTGAAGATATCAAATGAATAAGTAGTATCCCATTTCTCAGTGGGTTCTCAAAGTGCATTCAATGCACGAATGTGCTTGTTGGAAATATTGATCAGCTCTCTTAAAGATTGAACAGATTCTTTTTTCTAACCTAGGTAGATTGAACAGAGAATGAACATGTTTTTGAACTACTGTATTAATGTTTTGTTGTTGTCTCTTGAATGAGGTTCCGAGCTACTGCATAGTTAGTGGAAGTCAACTCCAAAGATGAAATTACGTCAAACGCTTCCTTTTTCAAACAAGATTTAAGGTAGTGCAATTTTTCAATGTCTGTTAGAGATTCATTGTTATGGATCACCACCCAAAACATATCAGAAAACGGAAACCAATCGTCAAAAGATCCATCAAAGGATGGCTGATTTAATACCGGTAGGTTTAGTTTAGGCCCTGAAACCCTATCTGAAGTTTTCATTTGAATTGAAGTATTCTCCTGATTGTTTGTTGTGAATGATTTGGCCTTACCTATTATTTTCAAAGTCGATTCAAAGGTTTCCCTTTCTACCTGTTGGGCATCCTCGTCATCCTCCAGTTCAATGTCATGTTGGATGAGGTCGAATTTGTCAAGAAGTTGCTCTGCCTTGGGAAGTCTGACGTATAGTTCATTCAAAAATCCGGGAGAATTAATGGAATTGTCAAAGAACTGTCCAAATCTTGTTAGTTGTGCCTTGATTGTGCTTCTTTTCTTTACTAATGCATCCATTTTTGTCTTGGAAGCTATGTACTTTTGTCAGTTTGTTGATTGAAAACTTACAATATTTTACTGAAAATAATAAAAACTGTGATGAATCATACTGGATTTATATCCGGCTCGTTTTTTATCAAAATGTGAAGTAAAACGTATTTGAATTATAAACCAAAAGATAGAAAATGTTTAGTACGGTACATGTTAATTGAAGTCAACAGTCGACTGTATTAATTATAATGTTGTTATAATTTTGTTATAATAATTATAATTCTGCAGTAAACTGCAATTTTCCATCCTTAATGACTTTTAAGATGTACTGTGATAATAAGATTTTTTCACTGATTTCGTAATAAAATCGGAAAATAACTTAGCAAACACTTCTTTTTTAGTAATTCAATAACTCCCTATTAATGTGTGATATTTAAAATACAATTTAAATATTAACAGCTGTTTCATTAAAAATTAGTGAAAAATTATCCATATGGCCATAATGTAAACAAATCTGGTGAGGGAACTATAAAGGCCACTGGGGCAGAGCCCAAAGAGAATTTACTTCGTTCTTCTTTTGATGGCTCATCTATAGAACAAGACCTTTCCTTAGACACCTCTACAAAGCTTCTACGCCCAGCAGTTCTCTCAAACTATTGGTGACAAAGTTTCCAATCAAAAAATAGATTTATAAAGGTTAACCTTATGGGAGAAAACCGAAATTTGATTAAATATCCTGCCCAAACTAATAAAGATTTCAAAAAAATGAAAACCACTTTGCAAAACTACAGATCAGGGCCATTTCTTTGGCACTTTAATCATCAAAATCTGTCTAAAAATGAGGGAGGAGCTCTGTTCACAAAAATTGGCTTAGCATATTATATATATATATATATATACATTGTATCCACTTTGGTTGATTTTCCGACAATTTCAAAGTTATTGGCAAATAAGCCAAGCGAATCCAAATTTATAGGCTAGTTGTTATAAAATACTGAATTAGAGATATTTTTGTTAAACTTTGTGTAACTAAATCTAGACTTATACTGGACCGATTTTGTCGATCAATAGTTCGTTGGAAAGCCTAATTTTTGTAGATTTGCAAATAATTATGAACGTTTGATTTTACTAAATATTTGAGGTCAAAAAAATACAATAATAACAAGAATACATTAAAAACTGCTTTTTACAAGTTTTTTTTCCAAACTTCTATTTGTAGCCAACTAGGTTGCCTTTATTGAGTATTTTCAAGAAATACATAGTATTAATTTGTAGGAAATATTATTATCCATCTGTTATTTACAGAAGGGCTAAGCAACCTCTGAATTTGTAGTTGTTAGAAAATACCGAATTAGAGATGTTTTTTTTAAACTCGCTACAACTAAATCTAGACTTCTACTTTTTCCTACTAGGAAATTTTCATCCATGTACATTTGCAAATCCTTTTACAGGGTGGTAATAAAGTCCGAAGACAGTTAAATATTTTCGAAACGACAACAGATAAATCAATAAGATTTGGTACGTCAACACAACACCTAAAAATCTACTTTTTTTAAGAAATATCAATTTTTTCTGTCATATGATGGGGACGTTCCGCAAGGAGTCAGGAGGAAATCTTAAATAGAAGCAGAGGTTGATATACACATCAAATTAAAGGTCTTTACTAGCAGAATATATACTGCCGCAAATTTGAACTGAAACGGACAACCGAGCCAAGAATGACAGTTGTTCAAAGATTCATTTAATTTGCATTGCTATTATACGCTTACTCCTCAGGGAGCACAGCCCCCTAGGATTCGGAAGAAAATTGTTAACGTAAGCATAGGTTGATATACACATCAAATTAAAGGTCTTCACTAGTAGATTACAATGCTGTAAATTCAAGCTCAAAAGAGCTCGTTCAAAGCTACAAAATGGCAGATTCAAGAAATTTTCAAACGGCTGCCATTTTGCGCAGGATTAACCTTTTGAAGTGCGGTTTGCGGCATTGTATTCTACAAAAAAATACCTTTCATTTGATGTGCATATTGACCTATGCTTCCATTTAAGATTTTCAACTGACTCCTTGTGGGCCGTCCCCCTGAAGAGTTATTGGATCACTGAATATGTGTTCAAATAAAGTTTTATGCTCTGTAACTTTGTACCAAGTATTTTAGCTCTATCTACATTATTTTTTAAAATATTTAACTGTCTTCAGACTTTATTACCACCCTGTATATAATACGTGAAGGCGATTTCTACGAAACACTACTCCTCCGTTAATAATGGACGTATTTTTACAAACTATGTGTCAAAATTAGGTATTTTTTGTGTAGACGCCCCCTTTCACCAATTCCTGTAATAAAAGTCCTCGGGCTTTGCCCCACAGGCCATCAAAATCCCAATGTATTTCTTATGAAGAAAAGATTTTGTTTACTTAAACAGACGAATGATTTGTATTAATTACAGCTGTTTATAGTAAACCTATGATACACCCAAGAGCGTCCGTTTTCAGAGTGAGTTCGTTTTCAGGTTCGATAACTGGAAAGTAATTGATTACATTATCTTTGAGTTGACTCTTTTAAGTCATCGGAAATTGTGACTGTTATTAGTTTTGAAATAACGCATTTAATACTTTGCAATTGCTCGAAATCGAGCAACAAGTGCACTAGTCTACCTATATTAAATATAGGTAGACTAATTTACTACTAAATTTTAGTGTTAAGACAATTACTCTTTTCACAATCATTGAAATAGGTAGGCTAGTATAAATTCTCTTTTAAATTAGGCCTAAATTTTTTCAGGGTAACTTGATTGGTTGTAATGGACTTTGTTAAACTACTTGAAGATCGTCTCAACATAGATGAGATATCAGAGTTAGTCAAATCTCCCAAGTGTGGAGCAGTCTCGCTTTTTATTGGTACTACAAGAGATAACTGTGATGGTTATAAGGTAAGAAAAATGTTTCATAAATAAACTAGGTCTAATATTTTTTCCTTTCTTATCAGTTTATTCAGCCACAAAAAAAATAAAAAAAACTTTTTCGTCACCCGTTTATTTTTCCATTTTTGAATCTTGGGATATGATATACAGGCTAGGTCTGGGAAACCCAGGGCCATTTCATTAAATGGGCCCGGGTTAATAGGTTTTAGATTAGTTGGGGATGCGAGGATGAGAACAATTCCCTGCAAGGAAAAGGGGAGGGAGCGCAAATAGGTACCTCTTCGGCCCATAGCATGTCTCATGAAAACTGTGGACCTGGGGGAAATAACACATTCAACCTAGAGTGAGTTCTCAATCAACAAAAGACAGCAGTCACCTAGTTGGCTTTGGTCAACTAGACAGCTTTGCCATGTAGTCAGGTTGGGTAGCAGGAAAATATTTCAGTTCTGGCAGACAGGCTGCAATTTTAGGTGGTTATAGTATACAAGTTTCTGAACCTAAAACCGCCCAGACCCCAATTTTTAAGGCCCTCGGTCGTCCGTAATGACGTCATCAAAATGGCGGTCGTAAGAGGATGTTGAGTCCCCATGAATTGGCTATAACAACCGAATGCCTGAACCGATTTTCATGAAATTTGGCACACAAGTGCTTGAATACATTATCTCGGCCTGGGTTGAAAATGGTCAAGTTTCATCAAGTCATTTCAAAATGGCGGCCGATCAAAACTAAAAAAATTATGAGGAAAATAATTTGAGTGATTTTTAAAAGAGTTCCCCCCTACTTTTTTATACATTTCTTAAGATATTAACTCCAAACTACGTCAGATCATTGTAGAGTAGCAAGTACTTCATTTTGACTGGGTTTAAATTATTGGCCGCCATCTTGGATCCGCCATTTTGAAATGTGATAAATTATTTTAAATATGAAGGTGGTGTTGTGACCCATCATTTTGTACTAATTTTTTATGCTGAATTTAATGCCGCAATCCGTTTTTCATTGTCATATTTGTCTTTTGAAACATTGACATTTTAAATAAAAATAATTGTAATATTTTATCAAGAAAGCTTGATAACCAAAAACGGATAAAATAATTTATCACATTTTAAAATGGCGGCCGTAAGAGGATCCGTTGTTAATGTGGAGAAAGCTTTTTCAGAGGGGTTGGATCAGTACAATCAATACATAGATGTTCGCTTGACCAAAACAGAGAAATCCATTCATGGTATCATACGCCGAAATAATTGTAAGATCTTCAATGTGCCAGTGAAGGCTAAGTCAAAATTAAAAGACAAAATATGTGATTTGAGAAGGGATTCCAGTCTTTTCTGTAAGATGTACGTAGCTGCTCAACACAGAGAAACGGATGTTGGAATATTTTTTTCTCATGAAAACCAGGCATATCCTCCTTCCATTTCTGAAGGTGGACGACTAAGAAAACCAAGTAACAAAGCTGACATCGTGCACTGTATGGAAAACAACTTGACAGAAGTAAGTACAAACCCAATCGTGAGTAACAAACAAGTTACGGCAGCAGTACTGGATGGTGCAGTAATAGTACATTTACTTCCTCCGATGAAAGAAAACCCCTTTTTAGGTTACTACAAACATTTTTAAGCCATACATCTTTAACTTATTGAAGAACCTGACACGAGTAGATGTGGTTTTCGACAGGTATTGTCCTGAATCGCTTAAGTCTGATACCCGCAATTCAAGGGGGACAGGAACTCGACTAAAAGTAACGTCATCTACTGCAATACCAAGAAATTTCTACGAGTTTCTGCGAGTAGACGAGAACAAAGTGCAGTTATTTAAGTTCTTGTCTGAACAGCTTACAAGTGAAAGATACGATGGAAAGACCGTCGTATGTACGCTTGAAGAAAATGTGATTACATCAGTAGCAGGGTTCGATGTATCTGAAATATCACCCTCGTGGCACGAAGAAGCAGATGGCCGCATCCTCCTTCACGTGAAACATGCAGCTGATAATGGTCATGAATACATCAGCATACATACTGTGGATTCAGATGTTGTCGTGATAGCTGTATCCATCTTCAAACAAATAGTGAACATAAAAGAACTTTGGATGGATTTCGGTACCGGGAAACATCGAAGGATGATTCCAGTACATGTTCTGTGTTCTCAACTCTCTCCAGAGATCTGCAGCAACCTTCCCATTTTCCATGCAATAACAGGTTGTGATACCGTATCTGCATTTCATGGAATAGGCAAGAAGAGAGCTTGGAAAGTATGGATGGCCTTCCCAAATGTTAACAGAGCTTTTGAACAGTTTTTGGCTGGTAACAATTCCGATGATGAGTCTGTTATGGCGCCAATCCAAAGATTTATTGTACTTCTATATGACATAACATCACACCTTAACAGCATTAATTACTGTAGACGTGTACTTTTTATCAACAAGAACAGAGCCATTGAGAACATTCCGCCCACTGAGAATGCACTATGTCAGCATGTGAAGCGAGCTACTCTGCAAGCTACGATGTGGATGCATTGTTTGGAAAACAACTTTACACAATGGGGATGGAAAGAAGATGAGAAAATTTATTCACCAGTGTAGTCAACCATACCTGAGGCTTCAAAAGGTTGTGAAGAACTCCATTCCTGTGTCTGTAAGAAACAATGCTCTTTGTGCGTCTGTGTATCAAAAGGATTATTGTGTACCATGTTATGCTCATGTGAGGGCCATTGTTCGCAAAAAGATGTGTAAAAGAGATCACTTTATATTTGCGTACTCGTAATGTTATATTAGGCATATTGTTATTTTTCAGTCGGAGGTTGGAAAACCTTAATGTTTTATTTACTCATTGTTTAAAGAAGCTTCGTTGTTTGTAAACAATTGTATTTTCATTTCTCGCATTAAAACATTTCTTTTCTGATTGTACATACTATTATTTTAATTACATACCTCATGGTTATGTTTATATAAAACAATTCACAATTATTTTCCTCATAATTTTTTTAGTTTTGAACAGCTGCCATTTTGAAATGACTTGATGAAACTTGGCCATTTTCAACCCAGGCCGAGATAATGTGTTCAAGCACTTGTGTGCCAAATTTCATGAAAATCGGTTCAGGCATTCGGTCGTTATAGCCAATTCATGGGGACCCAGCATCCTCTTACGGCCGCCATTTTAAAATGTGATAAATTATTTTATCCGTTTTTGGTTATCAAGCTTTCTTGATAAAATATTACAATTATTTTTATTTAAAATGTCAATGTTTCAAAAACCAAATATGACAATGAAAAACGGATTGCGGCATTAAATTCAGCATAAAAAATTAGTTCAAAATGATGGGTCACAACACCACCTTCATATTTAAAATAATTTATCACATTTCAAAATGGCGGATCCAAGATGGCGGCCAATAATTTAAACCCAGTCCAAATGAAGTACTTGCTACTCTACAATGATCTGACGTACCGTAGTTCGGAGTTAATATCTTAAGAAATGTATAAAAAAGTAGGGGGGAACTCTTTTAAAAATCACTCAAATTATTTTCCTCATAATGTTTTTAGTTTTGAATGGCCGCCATTTTGAAATGACTTGATGAAACTTGACCATTTTTAATCCAGGCCGAGATAATGTATTCAAGCACTTGTGTGCCAAATTTCATGAAAATCGGTTCAGGCATTCGGTTGTTATAGCCAATTCATGGGGACCCAGCATCCTCTTACGGCCGCCATTTTGATGACGTCATTACGGACGACCGAGGTCCTTAAAAATTGGGGTCTGGGCGGTTTTAGGTTCAGAAACTTGTATACTATAACCACCTAAAATTGCAGCCTGTCTGCCAGAACTGAAATATTCTACCACTATATGCAGCTATACGACCCCACTAATGGACTTTTCATGGAACAAAAAACCTAACCGTATTATTACATCCGTCAAACCATTCTTCATGCAATAGCTTCCCAATAAACCTGACATAGGGATCTACACCCTACATCAACAGACATGCATCAGATTTCACCCCCACACCCATAAGCGAACACTCGTAGAATAAAGCTGCACATTTAAGCCTAATCCTCTTTCCCGAGTCACCTCAAGCAAGATACCAACTCAACCCCCTTCAAAAGCAAACTTATAGACTGACTGGGTTCTGAAAAGACCTTTCTAGGCCTATACACAAAATTGAGTTTAAACCCAAACGTGACCACGACTTGCAGGTTCAATAAAATAAACGGTATCAGCATTCTGACACATACTTTCTCCCATAAGTTTGTCAAAAACTTATGAAACATCATGAAATTGTCAAAAACCTTTATCATGTGTAAGTGGTGAGAGTAGATAACTGTATACGCAAATGAGATTTGTAAAATTTTGTTCAGAATTTAAAGGATTATAACATGCTAAATTTTTTTTCAAAATCGTTCGGGCCAATTTTGAGGTAATCCGATTTTTCTGTTATTTTAAGGGGGTTTTATGGTAAAATGACATAATTTACAATAACTTTTGAACCGTAATGTTTACAGAAATGTGATTTGTACCATTTTGTTCAGAATATAAATGACTATAACATACTAAATTTTTATCAAAATCGTTCGGGCCATTTTTGGGAAAATCATATTTTTTCGTTATTTTATGGGGTTTTTATAGGAAAATCCCCATTAAAAATAAAAATTTCCAAAAAATTTAAAAAAAACTATCAAAACTGTAAGGAGTATAACATACTATGTTAAATCAAAACCGGATGTTTTTCTAAAATCCTATTTTTTGTTGTTTTATGGGGTTTTTATGGGGAAATAACATATTTGACCATAACTTTTGAACCGTAATTTTTACAGATATGGGGTTTGTACCATTTTATTCAGAATTTAAAGGGCTACAACATACTAAATTTTTATCAAAATCGTTCGGGCCGTTTTCGAGAAAATCTGTTTTTTCCGGTTTTTTATGGGTTTTTATGGGAAAATTCCCATTAAAAATTAAAATTTCAAAAAAATGAAAAAAACGCCTGGAGATACCATGGATTAGAACCTACATACCAAA